CTTCTGCTTTGCCTTAGCTACCTCTCTCTTAAGAATCTGTTACACTCATAAATCCCTAGTCAGGATTATCCCTGTGGAAAAAAAAAATCACGGTACTTTGATTGTTGATATGTGCTGCTGATCTCATGCTGCTGATTTAGTTCATGCTGCTGTGTTCATTAGTACTTATCTGCTCACACAGACTCATGTTCGTGCTGCTGTTGTTTGGCGTATTGCTTTGCACTATTACATGTTTAGCATAGTTCTTAGTTTAGTGTATTTCTTAGTTTATATCTTAGATCCTTAGTACATGTTTATAGCATCCTGCACTTCACTATTCCACCACCAGGTTTCTTTTTCATCCATTTTCTGTCCAGATGACACACCAAGTACTTTCCTACCTGTCTCTTTAATTACTGTTGCTGTAGTAGTCCAGTCATTTGGAAACTCTTTCTTACCACACAGAGCCTTTAACAGCTCCTCTCTGAATTTCTTACAACATGCTTCCTTCTTCATCTTCCGTCAGTTGGTCTTCTTCTCTGATTTTACTCTTTTTCTCTTCTTCACAACAACAGTCATTCTACACACAACCATCTGATGCTGTCTGGCCATACTCTCCCCTTCCACAACCTTACAGTCCCCAATCTCCCTCAGGTTTCCTCTTCTACACATAATGTAATCGACCTGCGTACTCCTTCCTCCACTCTTATAGGTCACTCTATGTTCCTCCTTCTTTTGGAAACAAGTGTTGACTACAGCCATTTCCATTCACTTAGCAAAATCCACCACCACCTGTCCTTGCTGGTTTCTTTCCTTTCACCAAACCTTCCCATCACTTCCTCATCTCCTCTGTTTGGTTCACCAACATGTCCATTCAGGTCTGCTCCGATCATCACTCTCTCCTCCCTAGAAATATGTTCTATCACTTCTTCCAGATCTTTTCAAAATGTATCTTTCTCCTCCACATCACATCCAACCTGTGGAGCATAACCACTGACGATGTTTAGCATCAGACCTTCTACTTCTACCTTCAGGCACATCATCCTATCTGACACTCTTTTCACCTCTACTACATTCTTTGCCAACTCCTCCTTCAGGACCACCCCTACTCCATTTCTCTTTCTATCCACACCATGGTAAAACAATTTCCCCTGCTCCAATGCTGCGAGCCTTGCTGCCCTTCCACTTGGTCTCTTGGATATATCAAAGAAGGTAGATACCTTCTTCCTTCTCTGCATCATGTCAGCCAGCTCTCTACCTTTGCCTTTCATTGTACCAACATTTTTAGTTGTAACCCTCATTCCTACATTCTTGACTTTCCTCTTCTCCTTCATAAAAAAAAAATTGTCTTTTCTCCTAGAGAGGGACATGGGCACCACTATTCTGGACCTGTCATTCTGTTTGTTTCTCCTTTCTGTCCTCTCAAACCCATCCGGTCGAAGCAGATGGCCGCTTGTCCTGAGCCTGGTTCTGATGGAGGTTTCTTCCTGTTAGAAGGGAGTTTTTCCTTTCCACTGTTGCCATTGTGCTTGCTCAGGATGGGAGACAGTGACGAAATGAATACTCAACACGTCTGCCGGCTTCCTTCCTTAGATAAATAACTCTTACTAAATGGCATTTATTATGCATATGAATGTTTCTGTTCAGTGCCCTGACATAACTTCTGTTGTGACTTGGTGTTACATAAATGAACCAAATTGAATTGGTTCACCTTCATCTACAACTACACCACATTTTAAGACATTTGTCAAATTGACTGAATGAGAAACATGTTTTGTGCTTTCTAAGTTTAGTTGGCTATGCAGCCATCTTAAATTGGCTCCTATGGATGTAGATGTACTGGTAGACCTGATGATTAATTTCTGAAGGCATTACAAAATTTTATCAGTATTTAAGCAGATATTTGGTAACAGACGGGCACACAAACACACATTTCAGACAGACACACATCAGCTACATCATTGTAAAAATTGGACATAAGTGAGATGCAGTGCGTTGCCAATCAGGATTATTTTGCTACTCCCTTTGCTTCAGATCTTTGTTGTTGTTTGGGTCAAAGCTGTTTTCCTCTGTTTGGTGTTATCATGGCCTCCTCTTAATCCTGGAGGTTGAGTTTTCTTCACAGAGGTCACTGTAACTCACACCACAGAGTGCAGACCAGCTGTAACAAACACATGACAGACTTTGTTGCTACAGCAGAACCTTTGACCTTGTAAACCTTCTTTACATGTGAATCAGAACCTAGAAGTGAGGGCATGATACCCCATCTTCTGGACTAAAGTTGAAAGATTCCATTTTGTCAAACTATTCTTATACCCCCAAAACCCCTTTACACATTATTGAAATGACACATGCAAAACCAAAAATACAACTAAAACGTGAGGTTGTTCAATCATTTTTGTCAGTATATAAATGTTAAAACATATTCTTCCCAGAGACTTTATTAAAGTGTGATCCCACAATAGTTGGAAGACACTTTTTAAAAATGGGAACCACCACCTAGTCTGCCATTTTGCAGGTATGGTCCCAAGCCTCCATGCAACATTGAAGAGACGTGTCAACCATGAAAGCCCCACAACATCCAGAACCTCCAGCGGGGTGAATCTTGTCACCACCCGCCCTTCCATGCTCTGATTTGTTTTGGTTTGATTAAAAAAAAAAGAATAAGAAAATTAAAAATTGTTTGTAGAAAAAGTAGCAATGAGGTGGGGTGATGAATGTTGGCCATGACAGTGAGTTAGAGTCTGGTGAGTCTTAATGTAATCAGAATCAGAATAAACTTTATTGGAATTGCACCGAGGTACAACGCAAATATGTATGTACAGTCGTCCGAAAGATGGGCGGAGTGCAAGAAGCTGCAACTGTAGAATGCGTGGCCATTTTTATCCTTATCAGAAAATAATCTTAGATAGGAAAAGGGGTAGAA